CCCTACAAGTTACAAATACACAGCAGATGAACCCGTCTTAGTTCACTGGAGAGCAAAATTACCTCCCCCTACTCCTTTCACTCTTATTTAGCTAGGCAAGACCCCATGCACAGTTAAGTATATATAAACGTAAATACTTACATGAAGAAATTAAATATTTTTCATTTAAAAAAACAAAATTAACCCGTATATAGTATTTTAAATAAAATTCACCTTTTGTAAGTGGTAAGATTTTGCTTAGAGAACAAAAGGCAACTCCAGGAGTTCCTCAATATTTCTGTGCGCTGCTGACAGTCAAGTTTCTGCTAAGAATCCCTGTGCAAGTTTGAAGCAGTTACTCCTTTTCCTTTTACAAAAGAAGACTGTTATATCAGAGTCATCACACGATCCACAGAACTGTACAAGCAGAAAGGCCACATTACAGCACCCACCCAGGTACCAGCTATGTCCCACATACACGGTAACAAGCAAGGTAAACTCTGACATATCTAATTCTATGGAAATTAACTTTAAAATTATTTTAAAATGTATGGAAACTGATCTTTGAAATTATTTTAAAATGTTGATAGGTACAATGAAAAATTACATAAAGATTAAGAACCTGTTTTCATCCAGGTCACTAGTGAAGACCCATTCCTCTGAGGAATTTTGGGCAAACGTTTTCTCTTCTTTAAGTTACACTATAAATCTATTGTAGATTATTCAGTTATGACGAGAACCTTGGACAGGAAGGAATCCAAAAAATCAGCACTAATATTTTGCTGACTACCACCCAGAAATCAGATTTCCAAAATGGACTTCTCTTTTACGACGGACAGTCTGCCTCAGCTTTGTTCAGAATCAGGTTCAGAACCACTCTCCAACATCAAGACAGAGGATTTCAATGTGGACAAAACCGATTTATGTTCCTTAAAATGCTACAAAGAACATTACCTTTCATCTTCTTGTTTCTGAATACAGACTTTTGGTCTTAACAAAATTCTGCCTAAAGTCAGAAATAAGTGAGTGAAAAGGCATGAAGTTTACTGCAGAACTCTCAAATATACAGAATGTCTACCTGTCAAGAAAAGAGCCAGGTTACTCAATCTCCAACACTGGTTTTGAAGTAAATGTGCTCTGCTTATGTCAAATAAAAAGAAACCCTGAATCAAGCACCTAGGTTTTCTTTCCTTTTGCCACAGTGAAACGTGCCTGAGTTTGTTTTTTTTTTCTATGTGCAAAAATATCCTCATTTCAAAAAGATGCACAGCACACTTTGGAAAGATTCCTTAGCTTGAAGTTTTCACCCTAATATAAACTTTCCTGCTTCTTAATTCTTATTCATTGCACTTGCCTCTCCGTGCTTCAGAAGCTCTGGAAAGAAATTAACTTCTGTTAATGCCTCACTAGCACAATTGCACTCTTTTCAAAATATAAATCTTTACCACCAGTTTCCACGTTTAGAAACAGTATTGTTTTCTTACACAGAAGCGACTGCTTCTCAAAGTGGAGAGGAGCTCAAAAGAGTACAGTTTCTGAAATGGAGAAATACAAGACTTAAGGAAAAAAATAAATCTAAGTTTTCATATTTGTTTGCTAGAGAGGATATTGGACCAACAATGCTGGTCGGATGTACTGTTATTTTAATATTATATTTAAATGATACAGCCTGACTGATAGCAACCAGTAAAACACTCTGGTTGTATGGTGGAAAAAACCAGAACAGCACCTGCAAGGCAGTTCTACACACACAGCTTAAAAGGTTAAAATACAGAGAATGTCTACAATCGTCTTCTGTTTTTGCTTAAATCAAGACGGATGCTGAAAGGGGCCTCAAAACTAAGCTTTGGCTTCTTCTTTCTTATCTTCCACAAAAGCCTTCTTACTCAAAACCAAGCAATGATCTTTTTCTCCTCAATCCCCAACACTCCTCTCTCCCACACCTTTAACATGCACGTGCCTTCTCCAACTCTTCTGTCACACACTGAACTATGCCTGTACTGGATGTTTATCCCTCACGTATTATTTACTATGCTAGACACCAGTAATTGTTCGGACAGGTCAGTCCTCCTTTAGGATATCCATTTTTGATGACTGTGTGCAAACTGGAGCTCCCAATGCTCCGATCATGGCTGGAAGGCTCTGGTTTCTTCTCAGTCCTGCCATTAAGTTGCTACCTGCATTTAAGAACACAGTTGAGTCCTGTCTCCGCAAGCTCACCTCTGGCCCTTGATTCTTCCCGTGGTCCTGTGTCTCAGGGGGCTTTATCACCCTGGCAATACCCAGCCTCTTCAGTCTGTCTACCAGGTTCATCTTCAGCTGGCCTACGTCTGCAACGTTACGAGAGGGCTTTAGGCCGTACATTTCTTGCAAGAATGTTTCTGCTGGTCGAGAAGCCAGGAAATTTTCCGAGTGATGCACTCGAGGCTCAAGCGGTGGAGGGGAAGGACAAGGTGAACGCGAGGGAGAATTTGGTGGTGTAGAAGGAATGGGGAGAATTCGAGGGGGCTGTAGCAAAGGCAGTTTTTCTAATACTGGGCTATCGTAAACCTTGGCAGAGATGCCTCGTTCTTGCAGAAGTTTAGCCAGACTGCTTGTGCTGCTGAAGGTAGTAGTTGAATCCCTTCTGTTGGTGAGAAATTCTCCAATGCTAAGCCTGTAAGACATGGCTGGAGTGCTCACTACTGGGTTTCCAATACTGCTGCCAGTATTTCCAAGTGAAAATGGGGCACCTGTGGAGCTGAAATAAAACAAAAGTGAAACACAGAAGATGCGCGCATCAGACATCTTTATACCTGCTCTGCACTTGCCTTTTAGCATACAGAGGGCTTCAGAAAAAGTAAACTACTGCTATTAGCTGTGACAGTTTCAGCTTCAGTAGATGCAAAATTATTGTTCTGTGAAATATTCAGAAGATACTAGGTTGACAGAGAGGCTTTGGTGTAATGGTACTAATAAATTTACCCTCACCTATGCTGTATTAGATAGAATATCAACATAGATGTCTAGTAATGACTTAGTTTAAAAAAAAATATGACAGAATTGGGAAAAAAAATACAGTAACATCAGTATGCTGGTTTTTAGTTTGTTTTACAACAGGTATATGATACAATGCATTCGATATTTAAGAGTACAATTTTACTTCCTTCAAGTCACCTTTATCTGTTTTAACTCTCACTCTAGAGAATTTCAAGTTTCTCCTTTGTAATTTCAACTATTTGTATGAGTAACATCCTATGTGTTGCCTAGCTGCCTTGGTATTTTTTTTAAATTGGGCCATATCTCAAAAGCCAGAATGCAACTGCTTAATCCTACGCAGCAACTTTTAGAATGTCAGCAGTTATCATACCTGGGAGTAACTTGAGTGACATCAGATGGGTGAAGAATCCTACAGGTAGTAAAGGTAAACGTGGAATTTGTGGAAGACAAACACTTCCCCGGATTCGAGGCTGTAAAGTGGAGAATTTACATCCATTGAGGGTAAAAATAAAGACAGATAAGGACTAATCAAAGCAAAGTTTAAGACAATGTTATTACCACTGCTAATTTTTTTTCTTTAAGTAAAGAACAAAGACAGCAGAGACAGTACTGTCACAAGGCCAAGTACTTTCCATTCAGAAAAAAAGACCAAAAAAAACCTAAAATACACCAACCATGCTTCTTACCAGTGAGTGGTACGGCTGCTGAAGAAATAGGGGGCAGGAAAATCCCTGCCACTGGCTTTGCCACTGTACATTTCTTTTCCTCCGGGAAGGACTGTTGCACTTGAAATGTTATACCTCCTTCATCTTCTTCCCCATCATCCTCCTCCAAGTCAGAGATGTGGTACACAGTATCATCAGACAAAGGGGTAAAGCCTTTTGTAACAACACCTGGTCTTGGGTCAAGAATGGTGCCTAGGTTGGGTCGAGCAAGCTGTTGCCAGTGAAACAGGGTCTGAGATCCTGGTGTGACAAAAGAGAAGATCACAGAGAGCCGTTACCTACTGAGTAGGTACACTGTACTGAGTTACAAGAATTCACAATCAAAACAACTCCAGCCAACTGGTGCTGACACCACAATACACAGTGCACTTGGCAACACCAAGAAAAAGCCTAACACCACCGTGTAAGAATGCCAAGTAGTGGTATTAATGAGCTAGCTGGCATGTAGCCTACCAAATACTCCTACTTCCTCTTACTGCATATCAGACCTAGCTGTAGACACACCAACAATGATTTAGTGGGCAGATTAATGTAAAATCCTTTTTTGCTGATGAGAGAAGGAAGGTCATCCTCTTACCTTCAATGGGTTTGACAATTTGCAATTTCTCTGGTAGGAGGACACGGAGGTTACTAGAGCTGGCAGAGAGATCGGTGAATTCTGAGTTTGTACCCAGGGAAAAACAGTTTTCTGTTGGCGTACTACAGCCACTAGTCCCTTCTTTCTGCTCAGACAGCAAATGCATTTTTCGCTCCCATTCCTCCTCAAAAAACTGCTTCTCACTCAGGTAGTTCTGGCGACGGAGGGAGAGTCTGTGCAGAGCTGTGACTAAGTCATTGTCTCCAGGGGTTCCCGGCTCACCAGGGTTATGAGTGTCTCTGTGAGAAACATCAAATTATAATAGATATTAAGACCATGACATTAACTATTTCTCCCTTACACAGCAGAGGTCCAGTCTGGATTTAGTTTTGAATCAGTTAGTTTAGAAAGAAAATAACAGGCTGTGTTTCCTACTTCAAATTCTTCTCAGAGCTGCTCCTCTGGGTCATCTGTGTGTGGATCTCCGACTGGCGTACCCCAGACTGGAAGGGCTTTGCCGTCATAACAACACTTGACCGATTTGATCCAGGGATTGGCAATGGCGCAGGAAAAGAAGAGGAGCGGCAACGCGTGACATTAGCAACCCTGACAGTGTCAAATACTCGTTTCTGTTGACACCTGCAGAAAAGACAAGCAAACAAATGTCGTCTTCAGAAGCATTTTGAAGAAAATATAGTAAAGAAAAGGCTCTGAACAACAGACTTTCAAAAGCCTGCAGACACCTAACTAAAAAGATATAAGCCCACAAAAACAGGATTGTCTAAGACACTCATGTTTTCAGGAGTACTGCTCCATTAAGTATCAGAATTACCACTTACTTTGACTTGAAAGATCTGAACCTCTATTGCTAACCCCTTGAGAGAATTCAGGAGCATATATTTTATTTATTTAAATTATACATGCTTTCAGGCGCATATATTTAACTTATTATTTCTTGCTCAGAAATAGGGACTCCAGGAACAGGTCCTCAGGTCTCTGGAAACCATTATCAGTCTTTCAGCTGTAATTTCATTTGCCAGAGATTTTTTCTATAAGCATTAAACAGCATAAAACCAGTAATGTGCATTTGCATCCAAAATCTCTCAAAATAAAGACTGAAGTAACATCCTTTTAGTAAATTCCCAACTTCCTCATAGAATCAAGTAAGAACAGTAGGTTTCAAAGTTGGAAAGATTACCAAATACTACAAAGCTTTTTTATTAAGTTACATAGAAAACTTCTTATAGAGGGAACAGTGACATTTATAGATTTCCAGAAATCAGTTTTACCTTACTTAATACAAGCATATGGGAAAATACTGAAATAGCGCATAGAGATCTGAAAACATACTTTTGCTTGGAGAGAACAGATTCATCACCCTGACTCAATTCCTTCCGCATTGTCCCTTCAATTTCTGCTGCAAGGGAATCCTACAGAAAAATGGAAAGAAGAGTAGTCAACAAATCAGATCCAAGTCTTTCTCCTAACAATTTTTACAAGAAAACCCCTCTAAAAAATACTAAAAAAAATTATCTCCATTTGTTTCCCTGATATCAGTGTGTTTCAGACAAAACCTTTGGTCTCTGAAGGAAAGGCACAGGTTGAGTTCTCCACCATAACTACACCAATGTGTAACCAGCATGGGCTCGGTTTTCATTAGCAACATCTGTTTTTTCTTGGTACTCTGTGTTGTTCTTTTAAGCTAATCTACAATTGTAAAAGCTCTTCTTACAAGGCCAAACACATACATGCGGGATTCTGTATACACAGAACAATCATCCACAACCTGACAAATTCACAACACAGCCCAGAAGTTTTTGAGACTGCAGTGATCAGAACATACCTGACACGAATTAGAAGAGGAAAATAAATGCTTTTAACACTTTTCCATTGGTTTAGTAATCTCTGGTTACTAGTCTAAGGTCATGCCTTTCTGATATTCTCACAAGATAAGGACATAAAATTACATCATAAACTACATGAAGAAAGAAAAATACTCTTCGAACTCTTGAAAAGATGCTTTATTCCTTAAAGAAACATTGTCAAGTTAGAGAATTCATACCAACATTGAACTAGCACTAGCACAACTGAGTACTAGCTATAAAACATGCCAATTCCTGTATTCAACAGAAAAGACACGTAAAAAGGAAAAATAATTCTAATATCACAATATGGCAAGTGAATGATTACTTTCCTAATATGTAAAATTTTCAAAAGCGTACACATTAAAGAACTGAAAAACTATTACATCAGCTCTTTTGCCTACTATGAAATAGTTCCTGCTGCAGCTCCTGTAAGGGCCATTTTACTCATATAGTTGTATGCCACTACAGGCCTTATGTGCCAGTAAGGGTATGCCACGGTAGTGGTGTTTATTACCACAGGAAATGCTCCATGTGACTGGGGGTGGCAGCGACAAGCAACAGAGCTGGCTCTGCTGCGCAGCAACTTCACTTCTTCTTGTGATTCGTGCAACATCCCGAGACACTCTGCGTTCCTATCTTGCAACTCGTGTAGCTGAAAGAGAAGAGAGGGCACCACGTGGTACCAGTAAGCTTCAAAGAAAACAGAAAGAAACTGAATTAACTCTCACAGAAACCTGTATTGACTGATTCAATACTGTAATATTTTTCCAACTGCATGGCACAAGCCAACATCTGGAATGGACAATGGTCAGCACAGCAGCCACACTGATTTTAGTGGTGAAGCATGAAGTCAAATTTAAGACTTTAAAGAGGAAAAAGTATAATAAAATCCAAAGGAAAACACATTGAAAAACTCTGCAAACACACTAACTGCTGATCCAAAAGAAGCAAAAGAGAGAACTTCATTAAAATCTAATGAGCTACAGAATTGTTGCTATAATCCATAATAGTCACATTAAAACACTTTTTCTCATAACTACTATGAATAGTAAGGCCTCCCTACCTGAAACACCTTCCTTGCCTTTCATACTCTTGTGAACTACAAAATTATTTGTGTAGACTTAAATAATTATTCTTTTCCTCCAATCATATGATGCCAACCACAATGAAAAATGAAAATCTCTACATAATTAAAAAACAGTAGTTCCCATTTTCTCTTAGTTTCTCTCTCTTGTACTCTATTCCAAACATTTATCTAATTGTGTGTATACACACACATATACACACATATATTTACACAGAAGCCTTAAGTACCTCTGCCGTCAGTTGTCTCTGAGCATCTTTGGAAGCTTGCAAGTGAAGTTTCAGCTCCTCCTTTTCAATCACATGCTGAAAACACAAAAAGGTGCTCGTAATTTCCCTGAAAGAAGTGATCTTCTGCCACTCTTTCCTGAAACAGCCACCCTCTTACAGAGTAGCCCCCTAGCTTGCAAGTCAATTTTTACCTGCTGTAAGCACTGGTGTGCACCCACACAAGCAAGTGTGTGTGCGCGCACACATGCACGCATACACCCTTCACCAGCATTCCCTTACCTCTTTGAGTTTATGTTGAAGATCAACAATCTGAGACAAGAGGGATGAGATCTCTTCCTGGTAGCGAACCAATTCCTCACTCTTCTCTGACAACTCCTCTGTTATTCTGGAAATTTGAGCATTAGTTTGCCCTACAAAACACAACAAGAACTTAGCAGAGAGCTTTTCTCAACACATGACAAAAATCCAAAGCAAACCAAAACCAAAAAAGACCAGTGAAAGTCATGAACAATCTGCAAAATGACCAGGACTCTTAGGAAATCAATTTCCCAGAGGGAATGGAGTAAATTAACAACCAACGAAGCACCAATTGATAGTATTTCATGGTCATCTGGAACAAGAAAAATCAAGCAGCAACCCCGTCTTCTTTATGGTGTTTGTACAGTAAAAAAATAATCTTAAAATATAAGCTTAAGGTTATTATGCATAAAGGAAGTAGCACACATGAAGTGACTACAGAAAAATTATCACGTGTGCTGAATACTCTTACACAAGCAGTATATCTTGTTCATTTTCTAGTGTCTGTAGGCTTCAGTTTAGAAGGCTTATGAATATTAGATTCTGTGTTGATTTTCTCTCTCTGAACACAGTACACAGAGCTGACATTGAATGTCAGAATGAAACTTGATGACAGTAACACCTTTGCACTTGGGTAAAGAGCAAAACTTGAATAATTGGCATAAATTACTGAAGCTTATTTTTTGATTCATGGATAACTAAGGTGGTAAGTATTCTATACTATATACCTATAACTAGGTATTTCAAATTCCATTTTGCTGTTGCCAGATACAGCCCGGATACTCACGGAGCTCTTTGACACAGTCATTGACCAGCTGCTGTTCCTTCTCTTCATATGTAATGGTTTCTGTCTTCAGATGGCAAGCCTTCAAGAAAATTAGTGGTATTCCAATTTCAGTTTATCTATACATATATTAATGTTATAATTTTTTCTGAAATAATTTTTATTTCTGGAGGGAAAGTGTTTGTGTATGATTTCTATACAGCGATACGAAATAGTCACAAGCTTCAAAACAAACCCAGATGCTGGATGTTTTAACCATCCTGGTTTATTTCATATACAGTATATGTGGAATACACTCTAAGAAGGATTTACCTTCGATCGGAGAGCAAGGTTCTCCTCTTCCAGCTCCCTGAGTTTATCTTGCAACACATCCAGGTGTAAAAGATCGTGTGACACATTGAAAGACTCATTGAATCGAAGTGGTGTGGAACAGCTGGAATCTGTTTCACTCTCCTCGGAAGCGATAGAGACAACACGAAGCAGGTCATCCTTCTTTGACAGTTCATGTTGCAGCTGGTTAACCTGTGAGAAAAGATCATCAGCTTGTGACATACATGTTAGCTATACAACATTACAGTGTATTACTTATTACTTATGCAGTCTCTTGAAACATCACTGCTCCAATCTAAAAATGAGATTAAAAAATACCTCACAGGTCATGATCCATTTATTTATATCTGCAGAGACAAGCTCTATTTATTTTATAGGAGGGTCACAAACTCCTCGGAAGCGATAGAGACAACACGAAGCAGGTCATCCTTCTTTGACAGTTCATGTTGCAGCTGGTTAACCTGTGAGAAAAGATCATCAGCTTGTGACATACATGTTAGCTATACAACATTACAGTGTATTACTTATTACTTATGCAGTCTCTTGAAACATCACTGCTCCAATCTAAAATGAGATTAAAAAATACCTCACAGGTCACGATCCATTTATTTATATCTGCAAAGAAGATTCAAGCTCTATTTATTTTATAGGAAGGTCACAAAATTGTAATTTTAACACTGTAAGGGGGACTGGAAATTCAAGATAATATACAAATGGACAACAGAACCAAATTTTTTTTAATAGTTTACTTCAAAGTAGCTTTCCAGCTGCTTTGATATACGTTTCAATTTTAAGATGCCATCATTTTGATTATGATCATTTTTCTGAACTATAACTTCCAGGAGAAAAGTACTGGTAGGCATCAATTTATATGTATTCACTGGTACCCTCCAGTCTACAGATGAAATGAACTGCTGGATAAATAAAAACAAGACAAAAGAGAGATTCATTTACATAAATTCTGTTTCACATGTATGTTTTTAATACCAGCACACTGTTATATACAAATAGCTGAATCCATGTCACTGTAACTTAGACTACCTCTGTTGACCCTAGGATAAAAAACCTTGGGATACTTTATCATTTCATTCTTTAAGAAAGACAGACAAATAAAATACTATATCAAGTATCTGTGCTTAAAAGAAGAAATGGAGTGAAGATCTTGAGCAGAATTCAGTTTTCATTACATTTTATTCAATTGTATTTATTTATTCATTCACTCTTAGTGTAAGCATCCTATGGTGCCACTTCATTTTCTGTCTGTTTTCTCACCTGTGAGGTTGTTATGTAGCAGGTCACAGGTCATGCCATATACCAACTACTTATTTTGACTTTTTGAATTTTGATTATTAGATTCTTAGTTTATGGCAGGATATCAGACTGATGGTCAAAACAAATACTTTGAAAATGCAATCCCACAGCAGATATATCATAGTAATACCTCGCATTCTCATAATTTCTCAGTAATTACAATATGCAGTCTTCATAGTCAATTCTTGGACTGAGAAAGCTGATTGAATGACAATAATTAGAATGACATCCAAGTATACTTTTGTGGTTTGAAAACAGCAATCACCTCCTTTCACAATGAAATTATTTATTTCTATTAATCTTCTTACCATCACCATGAAAAGAAAAATGAAAAGAAAAATATCACTCACTCGATCTAGAGTTTGTCCTAACTGTTCTTCTAGTGATTCATTCTGTTCCACCAACAGATGATTTCGCTTAAGCAGGGCTTGTCCAATTCGAGCTGCCAGTTCCAGGTCCCGATCTTTCTGCTCACAAAATGAAAACACGTCTGCTTTTGATCAGACTAGATGTTTAAATTCAGAGTAGTTTTAGATTTTCCTGGCTACTACTTAATTCATCACCAGTGTGAGATCTCTTCCCTCTTAGATGCATCACCATTGTTAGAACAACCATCAATGCTTCATCATTTGGATCACCAAACGCCGAATCTGTGTTTCTAGATATAGCACATTCTTTTCTACAGTCAGTTGCAGTAACAGGGGGGAGGTGAAAGCACAATATATGGGGACAGTTTTGGTTTTTGGGCTGAGTACTGAAAAGGTTACATGGACTCTGTTGAATTATACAAAGAAGCCACATATACTTAGGCCTGGGGTCTTTCAAGTGATACTTTCTCCAGAACAGACTGCTTAACGTGAATAGTGATGAGAAAGTAGAAGCAATGGAGCAACAGAAAAGAACTAGAAAGCTGTTTCTTTTCCACACCTGACTGGCTCCATGGGTACCCATGGTTTTGCTAAACTTTGTTTCTGAGATGGTGCAACTAAATGGGCAACTTCTCATTACCCAGGTGTTTGCTAAGCAGCTCCTGAAGATAACTGGACCAAAATTTTCAGCAGACATATAAAACCTTTCCTCAAATACACATCCTCAAACATATTAACATAGCATTACAGGGACAAGCATACCTCAGCTAACAGATGTTTGACCACGTCAGCATCACTGTAGGTTTTCTGTTCCACATTATCTGTGTCAAGAACTGAGAAGAGAAGAACATACTTACTGAAGTAGCTTAAGTACAAGACAACTGCTAGGAAAGGAGAGAGCTAAAACTCAGAGGATGTTGTTTATATGCAAATAAAGTCCTTAGTTGATGAAACTATTGGAGGCTATGAAAATGCATCTTAACGTCAGAAATATGAAACAATACTCATTTGGGAGATTGATACAATCAATTGCTTTCAGCAATATTAGCTAAAACCTGAGGTGCTCACATCTCCTCCAAATTTAGAAGAGGGAGAAAAATCTCTTATGACCACTTTTTTTAAATACAGCTTCACTATTAAATCATCCAGCCTGCTGGGGAGAGAGGGAAGAATATATTGGGGCATATCCAAATACAGCTGAGCACACCTGCAGACTTTACGCTTTAAACAAAATTGCTGTCAGTGTGTGTGACAGCTATACACAGGAAGTATGGAGACCCCACAGACTATTTATGAAAATGTATTTATTAAGTGCTTATAATCTTAAAAACTTATCAGTTAAAAACAAAGGGGATAACATGTGTTAGCAGTTTAGATGTAGCAGTAAACCCTACCTTACTGACTCAGTGACTTTGAAGTTTGTAAAACTGTTAAAAAACTGAGAACAAGTAGGATTTGAAAAACAGGACCAAGTCAAGAATTAAAAAGCATGAAGAATTTGTGACAACTCTGAACAAAACACAGTGCTAAAACATTAAGCACTGGTCTGCGCTAGTTCTCGTCCTGAGAAACACAAGGTGCTAGTAAAGAAGAAATCTTAATTACCTTGCGCAAATTTCTGAGATCCAGCCAAGGAGGAGGAAGGAAGTTCAACAAGAGCTGAAGTGACAGAAAATGAAAGATATGGGGGGAAAAAGAACAAAGAGAAGAAAGAATTAAAACGTAAGGAAACAGGTGATTTACTTGCATGCATCCATTACCACCAAAAAACAAATGCATGTGTAAACATACTTTTTACACTATCAAAAATTTCTTAGAGTTTTTAAAGAACTCTTTAAGCAGGATTCCCTTCAGAAGCAGAATTATACATCTCACTTGCAGGTGAACTTAGGTTCAGAAATCTTCTATTTTTGCTTTATGGATCATGAAAGTAAAGAAGGCAGTAATATAAGTGTAACAGATGTAGAAGTATCTGCTTTAACTGAAGGTCAAAGTTAACCTGTTTTGAAACTAATTCTATCATCATTGCACTGCAAAGTGAGATTACTACGGATCTGGTCTAAATCTATTTCTGAAGATTTCCTTGACTCTTCTACCTTGTTTAAATCTGATTAATACTCTGAATACATAGCAATATTGGTTCTTAATTTTTTCCTTTGTTTCTTCCTGTTGAGAACTGCACACTTAGTTATGCAATAGTGAAGTGCTAAGCTGAAATGCACAATGACTTTATTTATGTATGCTGTATAAGCTATGTACATCCTTTACATACATGTTTACAAGTAACCTTTTAAAACACAACACTACGGCTACGCTATGAACAAAATAAAAGTTGCATTTTAGTATAGGAAGAAACTTTCTTGCAGTCTTGAAAGACAGGAGAACAGAAAGGACAATAAAGAAGAAAAAGGTGTACTGAGCTGTTTCTCCAAGAGCTTAACAGAAAAATAAATCAAACCAATAAATCAAACCGTTTTAATCAAGTAGGATCAGTAGGCATAAAAACCCAACACGTGCCATTCAAGTATTTAGGAGTTTGAACTTGCAGTGGTGCCATGTAGTAATTGTAATTCTAAGCAGGGCAGAAATAGAAACCCTTCATAAAATTTCAAGTACCTACCATAACATGCATTTGGGAGGTCAATCTCACTGTACTGCTTAGTTGCTGATATTGGTTGCCGAGAGTGGATTCCAAACTCATCTGGCTTACTGGTATTTGGAAAATTCACTGCACATACGTAAGTTTCAGCCATTACAGGCAAAATATTATAGCCAGCTTTCCTGCAGTAACTATTCCCACCACGCGATTTTAAAGTCAAAAAGTTTCAATCCAGTGCTAAGTCACCTTAATAAAGACTTATACTAATTACATACAAGGTTACTCAGGTAGGTTGGTAGGTTTCTAAAATCTAAAGCAAATATATTTACTCTGATAAATGAAATCACAGAACTAACAGCTTTGAAACTTAGATCTATACAACTTGTGTTATTTTCTTACAGTACAGGATCAAAATTATGCACAGCTTGTTACAATTCTCTCTTGTGAACACGCACATTTGCAATCTCTCCTCACTCACCTTGCCAAGTGAAGGCTGCAAGCAACTCTTCATTTTGGTTAATATTCTTGTTATGCTGTGCCATGTCCCTTTATTCACACATATAAAGTAGTCCTAAAGACAGATGTTTTGTAATTCAAGGCTTCTTATGCTACCAGAATTGGAGCAGAAAATACTCCTCCACCTCACTGAAAGCAATGCCAGTGGGAACAAAGCTGGTTGTTGGATAAACCTTCTAAAAGGCAACAGCAGCCCTAAAAAGAGGAGGGGTTCAAGTGCAATAACTGTTGTGTTGTTTTCTTTTTTTCCCTTCGATGTCAACTACAAATTCACTCAAACCATGAGTTTAGCATTCTCTCTAGTTCTTCTCTCAGAGCTCTGTGCTTCCTCACGCTGGAACTGCAGGTGTTGACCAGAGAGCTTCAGCAGACCCACATCTGATGTAGAATTCCTTCCAGCACTGACAGACTCTGATCTCACCTTTTTATAAATAAAACTTAGAGGCAAGGACACACCCCACTGACCACACAACTGCTTCCAGTAAACTACAGAAGTGTTCACTCAACTGAAAAAAACATTTATGCTTGCAATATTATTATCAGAAACACACTGAGCAATAAACATTAAGTGGCTTTCCAAATACTTTCCACAATTAAAACGAGTTCCAAGCCTGCAAGTTCAACTGATAACAAGATTGTTTCAAATTGTCGAGTACTGCATTCTTAAGAGGTAATATTTTACTTTTACCTACTCATTTGCTGTACACCCTGGGTGGAGGCTTAATGCACAAAGAACAAATAAACCCTTTCAAAGGCCGCATGGGCAAGAAAGAGGCAATCATTACAGACTGTACAGAAATACCAAGTGCACTCTCCCAAGTGGTTTGTTCGAATAGCTTCAATATATGGAGGAAACAAGACTTGCCCGTTTCTCTCAAGTGATTATAATGCATTCTCCCCTTTTCACATGAAAACACTTGAAACTACAGGTAAGTAAGTGTTCATTTCTTTTGGCAGCCTTCTATACATTTATTTTTAACATATTAAAGCTTTCTTCATGTGATCATGTGTCCCTTCTCTTCCTTACAATCTCATAGGTTTAAGGATAAATTTATTCAGTATTTTCAAAACTGCAAGGCAGGGATCAACACTGATCAAGTACCCACCTATCTGGCATTCTCACCATTCTCAGAAACCATTAACAGCATTTCAAAAGCAACACCGACACAAAACATCAGGTCAATCATAATCAAAAGAACCACAACTCCATTAATGCTCCTGTAATCAGAGTTGCTGCATCCTCCAGACCTCTCATATTGCACCCAATCTAGCACAATTCTAGGTTCTTGTCTCTTTCTCACTACCACACGATCCCACTCTTATTTTTATGTGGAATCTAACAATCAGGCAGCCATGGGACGTGCTAGGTCAGCCCTTTGAATTGCAGTGCTGAATTACAAGTGCTTCTCCTAAACTCAGCTTTGTCTTCCACCTGTGCAAAGATTTC